CAGTTTTGTTTGAGCCCTTTTAAGGGCATATAACTTCCTAAGGGTGCGTTTTAGGGCACATGTTAATAGGAACTTTTTGGCTTATTTTAATGAGTTATAAACGCAGCAGAAGTTTGGAACCCTATTTTAGAAACACCCTGTATATAAAAAATGATGATTCTATATTGTTGAACCTATCTAAAAAAAATGGTAAAGAAGAAAAATATTTCAATAAAAATTACCATTACACATTAAATTAAAACACCTTGTTCTCTGATTTTTTTTTAATTGTACTTACTGTATAATATTGGTAGAAAGAAGTATATAACATGTATTTTTAAATTAAAATTTGCAGAATCTCTAAATCTATTTTACATAAAATGAAAATTATTTTCACTATCATCTCATAAAATATGTGAGTTTAATCTAAAGTTAATACGGGTGATTATAGAAAACATATACCCTCATTTGGTGTAATCGCTGGGTCCTAGGCTTAAAGAAAAATAGGTTACTTTCTCAACTGTGGTTCCAATTCCGTTGGAGGGGACAAAACAATTCGATGGGCATTTAAAAATTTATAAATATAAAAGCAACAAACACTGCCCATTATACATAGTTATAAAGAGGTTTTAGGTTAAATGAGATGACAAGAAAATATTAATGAGTTGGAAAAACTAGATGATGAAACGAAAAGAGAAAACAATTTTGGCTGAAGAAACTAGTAAATAAAAATAAATGAAATAATTATTGGGTGTAAAAAGTAAAAAATATATTAAAAACCCTTTATTTTAACTAGGAAGTAGCATATGGGATGATGGACACTAGTGGCCAACTTGTGGTTAATGATAGTTTATAGCAATCTGGATGTATGTTGTTGATCAAATTTATGCAATGACACCTGTATCTCCATAAAACATTTATTGAAGTCCATCTGGTGTTCAAATAGACAAGCTATGAATGTACAGAATATCCAGTGCAACTAGCCATAGGATGAATGTGTGCTATTTGGATATTGAATAATTCTTCATTTTGTCACTCATATGAAGGATACAATCCAAAAATTTAAATAAACTGATCTCCTACAACTCTTCAGATCCAGAGTTTTTGATTAGTAGAACACTCATTTTCATGGTTTCAGTTCAAGGATTCGTTTTGTTTGTTATTAATCAATTGATGAGGTGGAGTCTGCTTTGTTTCTCATTAAATGTGGATAATATTTCGGTAAACGCTGTGTTATTTCAATTTGTTTCTACTAATATAACAAATTTACTGATAAAGACACTATACTATTTCGAACATACGTTAAAGGTAATAAAAATCTGAACACAATTGGGTTTTTATTGAGCAGGATTTTATTGGTTTTATGTGTTTATTACTAAGATATGTTGACAACGGTATATTATGTATCTTTATTGTTAAAAGTATTTATTTGGGAAAGGGTTTGTTGTATCGATATTAATGAAGTACATATTTTTCTCTTAAAAGCATCTGGAAGTTTCAATCAAAAATGATTATAACAGTTGGGGGTATAAAAATCTTTTCAGGCCAAAACTATCGAAGGCGTTTTGCCACCGTGTCCTCAAAGTAGCTATAGGTAAATTGAATATATTAGTAGAATTAGCTTCAAATGACAAACAAAAAATTATAACAATAAATCAATTTTCATTCTCAATTTCAAAATCTAATAATTCTATAACGTGAACCTAGAAAAATAATTATATAAACTAGCCAAATCCGAGAGGTTGTCCATCGTTTCTTCGATACACCATATATAATGAACTTTTTTATACCACATTTGAGTAACAGCTACTAACATGTAGGTAACATTGTTTCCAGAATTCAGTTACCTTCAATAATTTCGAAGTACTTAAATTGTTACTAATAATAATGTTTTTGTTTCAGATAACACGGTCCGACAAAATAACTACAATGGTTTGTGAACAGTGTGTAATCAAAGTCAATAATTGGCATGAATACAAAAAAGAATGTAAGAGCAACCAAAGTAAGTTGGAACAATGGCTAAAATCTTCTTCCACTAATGGATTAGCAGATATAGTAAGTGAAATTACAGTCGGCTTGAAAAAATATATATTTAATTCATTTTCTCCAGAGCCTTCAAATTAAGGAAGAGCCAATGAACGATGGAGATGACAGCAATTGTGATCGTCCGGAAAATGATATTGTGGAGGTTCTGGTTAAAAACGAGCCCATCGATCCACCCGATGAACCCATGGAGGAGGAGTATAATGAGTTACCACCCCCTCTCACACCTCATCCTCCAAACGGAACTGATTCCGAAAATTCGCAAGACGGTAGTATCCCTGGTAAGTTCTTATTGAAAAATACAGACATCACACTGCTGTAAACTTATTCACATATTTTACTTTTTTGTTTAGTAAGATTTTGCAAAATTTAATTATTTAATTTGAATTTATAAACTGCTCTGCAAAGTTTTTTGCATGTTGTTCATTTCTCCTTTCTTTTTTTTTGCTTTGGTACAGGTACTTTAAGTAATAGACAATGCAGTGTTTGCGACAAACTATTTAGTAGTTCCGGGAATAGAAGGAAGCACGAAAAACAAATCCACGGCTTTCACCAACATAGGTCTGGTGAAGTTACTCGAAGAAGGAGTCAAATGAATGAGGTTCCGATAACAGTGAACCTCGACGGTATGTTTTCGTGATTTAATTAATTGGGTTTTGATACCAATTTCGGCAAAAAAAAATAATATAAATAAATTTAAAATTATATAAATTATTTTGTTAACTGATTTTGAAAATAAATTTTTTGATCTATAGAATCTAGATTATTGAATCGATAAATTACACATTTGATAAATTTATATAAACACAAGTTATGCAACCAGTTATACAAAGAACTGTTGCAACATCATTTTTATGATAAGATTGCCTGTTTGGGCAATAAAAAGATTTTTTTTGTGTAGTGATTTTACAGTTTTCTCATTATCATCATCATTGCTTTTATATTTTCCGTTTTCAAACCACTATTTAATATTTTATTTCTTTCAGATCCTCTTGAGCAAGATAATGTTCAAGCAACAATCGATGGACAGCAAAATCCGGAAGTACCCACACCGGAGCAACAAAAAATCCAGTTTGCCGCAGGCTTAAAGTTGCTCCAAAAAAATGCAACCCCAATTTCTTGCGAGCCACTTTCTAAGATAGAACTGAGCTATATCGAGAAATGTAAAGCCATGGTAAACATGCACCGTACCCTAGAGTGTGCCTGTCACAATGTAATGCACCCCAACCTTAAAGGTTTACTTTCACACCTTAGAGCCCTGCGAATATGGTTTCCGGTTTTCACATGTTACAATTGCATGATAACGTTTACCGACAGATCTACATTCACTAGGCACAGCGTGAGGTGTCCAAAGTCTTCACTAGAGACAATCATTAAGTTGAGCAACTTGAAAAAGCGCAGTGAGGTAAAAACCAGGCTGTATCAAAATTTTAAATGCACGTCTTGTAAGTTTATGTACAGTTTTCACGATGATTTCTGTAAACACGTCGATGAAGACCACTCTGTCTTTGAACCACCAAAGAAATGTAATTGCGGCAGAACTTTTGACAATCTGGAAGACTATAAGGATCACGTTTATGTGAGTTGTCTAGTTGAATACTACTGTGACATTTGCTTCATTACGACAAGAACATTAGACGACTTTCAGAGACATTCCGCCGGAGTCCATGATAATTCAGAAGGCTTCATCTTGCTGCAAGATGATAACTACAAGATGCGAAAATCTTTAACGAATAAATCGGAAGTCTCCGATGAAAATGTCATTGTGACAGGTAAACGGGAAAGGAGAATGTCTGTCAAGGCACCTCTTTTAGAACCTGATGAAGACGAAGAGAAATCGAAGAAAAAAGTTTACTCAGAAATTATACCGTCAGGTTCCAAAATATGTCCCATTTGCACCAAAGAGTACTCGTCACATAACAACATGATTCGACATTACAGAAGTCATCTTGATGTCTCTCCACCAAAGGCAACAACTGGAACAGGTGGTGATTCTTTATATGCTTGTCCGGAATGCGGCGGAATGTATACCACAGTAGAATGGCAGCAACACTTGGAGGAGAAACACGAGCCAAAGACATGTGGAGAATGCGGGAAGATCTTCCAGTTCCAAACAGAGCTGGATCAGCACAGGAGTGTACATTTGAACCTGAAAGTGTATAGAGACTCTAAAACACAGTCATACAAGACATCGATGCTGAGTCCTGGATCTGAAGGAGAAGTCATGCTTATGTGTGAGGTATGTGACGTAATGTTCCCCACAAAAGAGGAGTTGAAGGAACATAAGCTGACGCATGAGAACGGATTACCTATATTAGAAAACTTGGAAGAAGTAGAATTAGAAACGAAAGAGAGCAAATATTCCTGCAGACCTTGCAACAAGGTGTATTCTAGTTACGGTGGGATTTGGGACCACAATAAAAAGAAACACCCTGAAAAGAAAACTCCTTTTGTAGACGAATGGCCAAAACAGTGCCCTCTGTGTGACAAAATATGTGCCACCGGCGCCGCCTATTACCGGCACAAGCAAATCCACGAAAAGGAACGAATTAATGCCGACAATGCGGAAGTTACACCCACTAAAGCACCCATTGCCAAAGGAAAAAATGAGGAGGAAGAAGAGTCCTACCACACGTGTAAACGTTGCTTCAAAGTTTTCTCCTCAAAGTACAACTTGAAAAATCACATGAAATCTCACGGCATAAGTCCTGCCACCAAAAAAATAGCAAAAAAAGTCTGGTGTGAGATCTGCCACCAATCGTTCACTTCCAATGAAGCTATGGAGAAGCATAAGGAGGAGCACACGGTTGAAGAACAGTCCCAGCTGCCTAACCTAACCGATGGCGTGGAAGGTAAAGTGCCATTCATCTTTACTTGTGATGTTTGCGTGATGACTTTCACTACCAAAATGGCGTTGAAAAAACACAAGGAGAAACATGCTCAGGAAACTAAACCAAATGTTCAGAAGACTCAGGTGTACTGCAAGTACTGTAAGATTGCTTTTGACTCGGTTGCTCAATTAACCAAGCATATGCATGTGGAACACGACGAGACTGCCAAGCCAAAAGTTAGTAAGGACAAACCGAGGCAGTTCACTTGTGGCATATGCAAGAAGAATTTCCTAACAGCCTCTGCATTGTCCACTCATATGGGTTGGCACAAGCGCAGCCCACATACTGGCGGCGAAGGCAAGCCAGCTAAAATATTAAAACAAAACAAAATAACCTCCAAACTAGCCAACACGTTTGTAAAGCAAGAGCCTGTCGATCCCCCCGAATTTCAGTGTGTGACTTGCCTGGCAGAATTTCCGAACGATACAGCTCTTCAGGTACATATTTTAGAGAAGCATCGTAGCGTGAGTGCCATCATGCTCATTCCTCGATGTAACACTTGCAATAAGGACTTCAATACTCAGGACGAATACGAAACCCACAAACGGCTGCATGACTTCTTGGAACGCCAGAAACAGCACGAGTTGCTGATGCAGCAAGAGTCCGGTGAGCATGCTGCTGATGGAAAACCTCTTGCCGCACAACCAAAGTTTAATAAAGGATTCCCCTGCAAGTACTGCAATGCGGCGTTCAGTAGGGCTGACACCCTCAACGGGCATGTACGGCAGTTCCATAAGGAGTTTGTCCAGAACGAATTCAAGTGCACGCAGTGTGACCGTATTTTCGATAAACAGAATTCCCTGACCATCCATTTGAAAGTCCACGAGAAGCAGAAGACTTCGGCGAGTGTTACTACCAAACCGTTGTTTTGTTGCTCGATTTGCAGCATGGGATTCGACTTACCCAAAGATCTGAGGGCGCATACGATCAGCGCCCATCCGTTCTGACGAATATTATACAAGTAATCTATTCATGTGACTTATTTTTTTTTTAGTTGGTACCAATTCAGTTTTTAGGTTTGTTCGAGGAGAACGCTCTGATTTTCCCATTGTTATGTTCCACTGATACATTGATGTTATTGATTTGTGCCTAAGAGTTATGAATATATTGTATACTAAATATTATGTAGGTATTTTTTATAAAATATATCGTGTTTAATAAAATGATATTTTTTATGACACTGATAGTGCAGCAGCATCAAGATCGGGTATTTTGTCCTTATTAATACTAGTATAAGCAGAAGTGAACAATGTAAATATCAAAAAGAACTGTATAATGTAATTTATAGTAGTATTGTGGAGTATTTGGATCGTTATTTTGATATTCGCATGTGTGCAAGTGTTTAATAAAGTGTAAAGGTATTATTATAAACTTGCATATTCGTTAATGAAGTAAATGAGCATAAAATAGCGTTTCAACTTATTAGTGTTGGGAAAGTAAAATGAGTTTTATTCGCATAATGAAGTGATCATATTTATCAGTAACTCTTGTTGTGGTCTAATTGGTCATCACTTGCAATTTTGTAAAAGGTAACATTGTGATAAGTACTCATTTATCATTTACGTTTTTTTACATTTATCCATTGGTGGCTGGTAAAAACAAAATTGTCATACCTATTTTGAAAATGTAGTGAGGGACCTATACCGTTTTTTAGGAGATAATTTCTAAGCCCACAAAAACCACTTTTATGAAGAAATTTGCATAATAAAAAATTAAGGTTTACCGGCCTTGGGATCTCAAAAAAAATTACACATTTTTTTTTGTAATTAACGTACAAACGGCTGTTTCCTTATTCTCAACATTTTCATCTATTATAAAGTTACAGCATTATGAAGTGTTAGTATCAAATAATTGAAATATTTTTAATTCTAAAGAAAATTTAATTTTTACAAAAATGAATAATGGTTTATATCCATCAGTTGATTATGACAAATAAATATGCATAAGAAAACATGTGCATCTTTTTTTTTGGGATATCATAGATGGATCTATTTTATTTTTTTAATTAGCAAATTCCGTTAAAATGTTTTCATAACGAACGTTTTTTTTTGAGCATAGAAATTATCCCCCAAAAAATGGTATGGATCTTTCTTCATTATTAAATTATGATCCCTTTAATTTTCATCAGCTGGCAAAGCATTTATCACTGTTGAATTAAAGTAACAGAAAATAAATTTTAAGTTAGTACTTCCCAATAATTTATTTATATTAGAATAGTGTGTACAAGCACAGGAAACCGTACCTTCTTTGAACAAATTTTCTGTTATAAACCTTTTTCGTTAAGTTGAATATACATCTGAGATAAAAACTCTTCACATTAACGTATGTTGATTATGTTACTTTGTTTTTTAAATTAAACAAATAAATTCTGGTTTTAAACTTTGAAAATTGTTTATATTTGGCGGGAAGTTGTATTTAGTCCACTTTTAATACGAGTATCTGTATTGTTAGTTGCCTAATATCAGGAAGTAAGTTCTTTATACATAATTTTTTATTTACATATTATTTAACTTATCTATATTATAGTTCTGATAATGTATAGGACAAGTTATATTGCTTTGCTCCATATATGAAACATATGCTAAAGTATGTGCACCTAGGATAATTTTTTATGTATATACTTGTATAATCACGAGAGTCGTGAACAGGGAGTCCAAGGGACCATAGATTTAAAATATTAGAATACATCTATCTCTTACTACGTCTAAGGTTTGCGAATAGACCGTATATGACGTGAAACCATAGAGAAAATTTTTGAATTTTTTCCCCACGAGGTGGAATGCATGGCGCAGGGAAAACCATTTAAAAAACTCGCCATGCATTCTACATCGTTCTATAAACGAATACAGTTTCAAAAATATATTTTTTTAAATCTTGCAGATAATTAAGTTCTCTACAACTTTTTTACAATGAGTTCGATGCGTAGGAAGCGAGATACTCGCGGAAAACCGTTTTCATTGAGCTTTGACCTTGAATTTCTCGGAAAGGGCGATGCTATTTCGGGAAAAATTGCTAGAGCCCAATCTTGCAGATAATTTCTCTACAGCTTTCACCTTATGGATGTTCGAGGTATAGAATACAAGATATTTGCAAAAACTTTGACCTCAAATATCTGGTGGCCATGTTGTGATTTTTGCGGATTTGGGACTCCTCATCAAAGAACGTCTGTGCAAAAATTCAGTTTGTAGGAAATTTTGTCAAGGTTTCCTCCTTTTTTTGTTTGATTTCCTTGGGATATAATTCTTTGCCTAATCGGAAGTTGTTGGAAATGGCATTAGAACCCTTTACTTTAAGAATCTCGTTAACGTTATACAACAAATATGTTACTCATAAAGTTGTTTTAAAACTCTTTATTTTATGACAAGTGCCATTAACAAATACGTAATAAATTACCAAAGGTGTTTATAGAAAAAGATCGCGAAATATGTATTAGTAATAAAACTATAATCAATTTTATTAATTTTAAATTATGTGTTTATCATGATCAGTATCTATTTTAATACGCTTTCCGTAGNGTGTCCATAATGTATTCAGTGTGTTCAGATTTAATCTGGACCATCCTTTATAAATTTAAATAAACTTTCAATGCAATTTTACCAGATTATAAACAGCTTATTTATTTAATTTCATGCTATGCTATGATTTTTTTCCAAGATATTTTTCGAAAAACCATAATTTTTTATCGAAAATCTGACACCGTAATTCCCTCGGTAATTCCACATCTTTGCTACTAACCCTTGAAATTGGTGAAATATTGGACAAAATATTTTAAGTTAATTTATTTATCTAGGGAGCTTTGGAATTAAATGAAAAAAATATGTGTTAAACTTTTATACACTATCGCTATTTTGATTGGAACAAATTCTAAATTGCAAGTATTGCTTAAATATCACACGATGTTTTATGAATATCCGTTTTTTTTGTCAATTTTTGACCCTGAAGTCCATTGGATAGGTATTCATCGTATGTATGTACATAAGCTGAAACGAATAATACGCCCCTTATTTAGATATATCCATTGGAAGTTCTGTTTTGGTATATACATCCATGTCTTCCGTCCTCTTCGGTACATTTAATGGACCTTGTTATAATGTACATATCACTTTTTCTTGCCTAAATAAAAATTCTAATTGAAGACATCCATAAGACGTACATTATATCTCAAATGGCTATCCATAAACTAAACATCTACATATAAGACATTTTTTTCCAGTGGCATGGGTTCGGTTATTTTACCGAAACCGAATCAATATAAAAGTAGTTGCGCATAGTTTTAAATCTGTATGTACAGTTGATAGATTTTCAATTCGATTCAATTTAACTACCGTTTCCAATAAATGTATCGTGCCTTAAGAAAGCGCAGACTGATCCGCGCCGAGCGAGCACGAATCGCACTAATTTTTCAATATTCAAGCTAGCTTCGTATTTATGATACGAGTTCTGTACAAAGTAGATCCGAGAGTTCCTAATGAATCCCTTGTATTTATACAAGACGATTAACAATGAAGAAAGCGTAATTATTATCTGCTTATAGTTAGAGGAAGAAGAACAAAGAAGAAACTTATGGGTCCACAATATACCCAAAAATTTCAATGCTGAACAAAGTTCAAAGGTATCGGAAAATGGTTTAAATTCGAAATCTTAATAATAATAATAATTACACACACACACACATAGAGGTACATTTAAAATAATATATTTTCTTTCGATTCGTGTGGTACTGGCGGCTCATCCAGCGCGGATCATTTTGGGCTTTGTTAATGGTCGGTAAGTTTAAGGTATCATTATTTCGTTAATAAAATGAATATCCCAATTATCGACATCCATAAGACGTATTTCTGCTAACTCAAATGGATATCCCGAGGAATATCAATAAATTAAACAACTACTAATATCGTATCTTTTTTGGTTATTCAAATGGATATCCGAACTAAATAAATTCATTAACTAAATGATTACTCAATTTATTTTATATTATATATACAGGGTGTGCCATTTAATACTCCCGCTGCTAATATCTCCGAAATGAAGAAATTTATTTTAGTTCCGAAAACTGAAGTTGTGGGGTTCCTCGAATAGCTTCAAATTGCAATTAGAACTATTAGTTCAAACCTTTCTGTATAGATGGCGTGGCGATAATAAAAAATGTTTTAATCCCTGGAACTTGGAAAGATTTACCATTGTACAATTTTTTTTCTGTAGTTGTTCATTCGCTTTTTTATAATTTATTGTTTGTTAGTGTGAATAAAGCCATTATAACAATATTTTAAAAGAATATTTGGTCTCGGTGTGATTTAAATAAAATAATAGATTTTACTGTTACATCATACATTGCATATTGAAGTCGACACATCTCGAAAACAAGTAAATATAGGGAAAAACTTTATATTACAAAAATTACTCAAAATTTAACGATCTTTCAGATGGACCACATTTCCACGTTTCAGGGATCAAAACAGTTTTTAGTATCGCCACGCCATCTATACAGAAAGATTTGAACTAACAGTTCTAACTACAATTTGAAGCTATTCGAAAGACCTAACAGCCCCAGTTTCCGGAACTAAAATAAATTTCTTCATTTCTGAGATATTGGCAGCGGGAATGTTAAATGGCACACCCTATATTACAAAAATCTGTTTACCATGGCAAATAAAAGATTAACGTTGCCACAACGCTTAACAATTTAAGTTATCGATAAACTGTCAATTGAGCTTTGCAGTGTTTAATTAGTAAAAGTGGTTAGTGGAAAATTTAAGTATACAATATTATTGCAACTCATGAAATGGAGTCATATTCAAACAAGGAAATGGCAGATGTGCACTTTATGAAGGGCCGTGCGGCTGGAAATGCATCAGAAGCGAGGCGTCTGTATGCGGCAGCATACCCGAATAGAAGACTTCCTTCTCGACAGGTATTTCAGAGGATCCATCAACGTTTAAGAGAAAATGGTTCCTTCCAACCAAGAGTAAATGATCGTGGCAGAGACAGATTTGTAAGAACACCGGTGATGGAAGAAAATGTATTGAGAGCTGTGCAGGACAATCCAAGGGTTAGTGTAAGAAGTGTCGCACGTATGCATAACATAAGTTTTTCCGTAGTTTGGCGAATTCTTTGCGAACAACTACTTCATCCTTTTCATATCCAGCGTGTTCAAGCTTTAAATCCGAATGACTACGAACCACGTCGGCAGTTCTGCCAAT